CCACATAAATACCATTTTGTTAGTAAAAACATGAAAAAGTCACATTGCTTGGATGTTCGACAGTTCCAATAAGTTAAGACCAAATGATAATATTCAATAATAGTTACCCTGCATTACGATGAGAACAAAAATAAATTACACGTGCTAGGTTTTATATATACTCATCATAGTAATACATATTCACTTGCAGCGCTAAAAGAAGGACGAAGAGTCACATTCTATCAGAAAAAAAAAAAACCAAAACCGAACTGGAAAACGCCGGGTTTTGCCAGAGTCTCTCCTGCCTTTAGCAAGTGGCGGTGCTGTGCCCGTTCCTCACTGGTGCCCCCCCCGGGGTTAGGGTTTAAGAGAAGGTCAGATTAGCGGTCAGTTCCCGGATTCGGTTCTCCCTGCTCATCTTCTTGAGCTTCATTCTGCGGTTTTGAAACCAAATCTTGACCTGCCTGTCAGTGAGGTTTACGCTCTTACTGATCTCTAGACGGCGCTCTCGAGTGAGATACATATTGAATAAGAACTCTTTCTCTAATTCCAGTGTTTGGTGTTTAGTATAAGGACACCTCTTCTTTCTGCCACTCTTTGCAGTTAGCCAATTGCTTGTTGGAGTATCAGACTTGATTTCCTCTATCAAAATCAAAGAAGAAGAAGAAAAAAAAAATCAAAAATACCTCAGGCTGTTAGAGGGTACCCTTGGCCATGACCCCTCCTCTGCAGTGTCTGGCAGATATGGTGGATGTGGGCATTAAACACAGCTCGGGTGAGGTGTGGGCACAGGGAAGGGACCTGCTGCCAGGCTGGGCTCGCCCGTCCCCGCCACACGGCACCCTGCCTTGCGGCCGCCCCGCTCTCCTGCCCCTTCCAGAAATGGGCTCTCAAGTTTTCAGCTGGCGTTTAGCATTTCAACAATATTTAGCCTGCCATCAGCCCCGTGGCCACATTTTAACGGGTCTAGCCTCGCCATGGACGCCTCGGGCTCCCACGACACTTGCTACGAAAATATCCCAGTTACAAAATACCCTCGCGCTCTATTTCGAAGCAGCTTCCCCCCAGCCATCAGCTGAATTACACCAGCACACCTAGGAGCAGACATAGA